TGCTGGCAGCAGAGAGCCCCACGTGGGGCTTGAACTCACAAACTGCGAGACCACGGCCTGAGCCAAAGTCAGAGACTCAACTGACTGGGCATTGAGGTGCCCCTTGAAGCTAGTTTTAAAAAGTTTAAACTTCTTTTTAACTTCTTCCTCAACCACACATTTACTCCATTACATAGGTAGGCATCATGGATCTGCTCTGAGAGCCTTCCTCATCCATTTACTTCTTTCCTCTCTCTCTGATTCTGTAGTGCATGCCTCTCTTCCCCCAGCATCCTCTCCATTTTAGATTTTAAACATTAAACACTCATACCTGTGAGTAGTTTGTTTGCCTTTCAGGATTAGGGCTTAGAAGATAAATTGACTTAGAGCAATGCAGGAACTTTTTAAAGACTGGCACTTGATAGTTTATTGGGTGCAACTGTAAAAACTTGTCACAGCAATGTCATCTTGTAATTAAAAGTTTCTGTTATTTTTGAAACACCGCAAGAGGATTCTGAGTCATGCATTGGATAATAAAATGTTTTGAAAGCAAACATTTATTCACTTGGGTAAATACTGTGTTTAGATGGAATATTCTTAAAAACTCTTCCTGCTAAATTAGTTAATTTTTTGATCCACTTTTTTTCCCCCCCTCTAGCACTGGCGATGATAAAGTGAAGCTTTTAATATGGTTTCCTTTGTGGTGGGTTCCTCATTGCTCAGCCCATAGAGTTAACAAGGCTAAGGACAGTGGTCTGATTTCCCAATAGATCCGTTATCATCCTGCTACTAGTCTGTAGTCACAGACTGTCCTTCAAATCAAGGCCAACCATTTCATAAATGTTAGTTATGACCAAGACAGAGAAGGGGAGTCAGAGAGGCTTGGTGGCAATTCATTCTAAAACAAGTTAAAGCAGATGCTCTCCCAGAAATGGTTTAGGAGTTTTGTCCTTTTTCATATACAAGTAATATATATACTCACAGTAACATACAAGTGTTTAATTTCCATAATTTGTTGCGCATTGCATCTCTATGGCCCTCAACAGTGTTAGCTGCTATAGTTTTCCATCTTCTTTCTCTGGTCTTTAAGCTAGATGGCTTATTGAATTTACCAAGAAGTAGTGTGTTGAGATGAACAGGACATGGCTTTTGGAGTCAGATCCTGTGATCTACTTCTGTCACCCATTAATTATGTGTCCTTGGTTAAATTTCTTAATCTCCATGTTTCTGTTTCTTCCTCTGAAAAAATACCCACTTTACATGGTTGTAAGAGTAAAGATAATGTACTTAAGTCACCAAGAACATTGTAAGTACTGAATGCTCAAGTTCTCTACTTGTCTTTTGTGATATGTAAATAAATCTAATCAATTGGTTTGGAAAGTTTCATAGGGCTACCATTTATTTAACATCTACTTGGTGTCAAGCATACTGCCAGGTGCTTGATGTACATTAAATATATCTATATCTATATATAATATATATATATTTATATACTCATGAAAACCTCTAAAGGTTATTTATAGGGTGCCTGAGTGGCTCAGTTGGTTGGGCGACCAACATCAGCTCAGGTCATGATCTCGCGGTTCGTGGGTTCGAGCCCCATGTCGGGCTCTGTGCTGACAGCTAGCTGAGAGCCTGGAGCCTACTTCAGATTCTGTGCCTCCCTCTCTCTTTGACCCTCCCCTGCTCATGCTGTCTGTCTGTCTCTCTCAGAAATAAATAAAACATTTTAAAAAAAGGTTATTTATAATTATTTCCTTATGGATGGGGGAACTGAGATGATGCTGCTGTCTGGGATGAATGGTTCTCACTTTAGCATATCATACAGTAAACTGGGGATATAGGAATATTTGTAGGGAAGAGGTTTTTAAGCACTGTACCTTAATAATTATCTGGAGTGGGGGGAGGAAGTGTTTTTTCAAAAGGCAGATTATTGGGGTTCACCTGCAAGGATCCTGGTTCTGGGTGGGGCCCAGGAAAATGCAATTTTAAAAAGTTGCCTAAGTTATTTAATGCAGTTGGTTCTTTGGAGGACAATTGGATAAATGTCTATGCATCATACCTTAATTTGTTTTTTTTTTTTTTTTACTTTCTTACTTCAGGCTTTAAATTGTGAGAGGAGGCAGGCTAGCATCTGTAGGCTAGAATTTAAATTTGCATAAGAGCAACACTCCTCTTATTGTCAACTCTGCCTCATCACTTCAAGGTGCTTACCCTCTGGTTAAATCACTACATACTACTTACAGTTCTTGATGTCTTTATCGACCTTGTGGATTGAAGTTCCATTTAACTGTATCTCTTGGCAGTCAACATGAAGAGGAGCAGATTGGGTCCCTTACAGGGTAACTCTAGTCATTGCTCTACCCAACTGTCACAAACTGTAATTTCTTGCAATCTCAATTTTCTTAACTGTAAGTGGGGTTGGCATTCGTCTTGTAAAGTTACGGTAAGGATTGCCATACTGCCTGGCGCATGGTATGTATTTATAAACGGCACTATTATTATTTACTTATTATGTTTAAATTTTTGTTTTATTTATTTCAGAGAGGGGGGGAGAGAGGGAGGGAGAGAGAGAGAGAGAGAGAGAGAGAGAGACAGCATGAACAGGGGAGGGTCAGAGAGGGAGGGAGACACAGAACCTGAAACAGGCTCCAGGCTCTGAGCTAGCTGTCAGCACAGAGCCCGACATGGGGCTCGAACCCACAAACTGTGAGATCATGACCTGAGCCGAAGTCAGATGTTTAACTGACTGAGCTACCCAGGCACCCCAATTATTTACTTATTTTTGAGGTGAGGTGTCACACATGATAGCATGTATTAAAGTACTCCATAAACCAGCTTTCACACTAGGAAACTTTTCCTCTCAACATAATCTTTTGGAGAATGTGATGAATGCTTTGAAGAAACAATGAAGTACAGTGAAATACCCAATGAATTACAGTGCTAATCACATAGGTAATTTTAAATATTTTAGTCTCCACCCAAAAAAGAAAACAGGTGAAATTTTAATAATATAGTTCATTCAATCAAATAGAAACATCTTATTATTACAACATGTAATCAATATAAAATTATTAATGAGGTATTTTACATTAAAGTTTTCATACTAAGACTGAAATTCAGTATGCTTTTTTTACTTCTAGCATATCTCAATTTGGGTAATAAATTTTCTTTTCTTTTCTAAGTTTGTCTGTTTTCAGTGAGAGAGAAAGAGAGAGAGGCAGAGAGGGAGGGAGAGAATCCTAAGCAAAGGCCAGAGCCAAATGGGGGTTCTGTCTTGCCAACCATGAGATCATGACCTGAGCTAAAATCAAGAGTTGGACGCTTAACCCACTGAGCCACCCAGGTGCCTCACTGCGTATTAAATTTTCAATGCTGAAGTGCAATGTAGTCCGACCCAAACAATAAAGTTGTGTTTAACACAAATGTTATCCTGCTTCAGTTTTTAAATGTCAATTAAAATGATAGAATAACACAAAACCGTTCAGCGCTTTCGTCCCACTAGCCGTTTTTCAAATGTTCAATAGCCACACATGGTTGGTTAGTGTCTACGGTTTTGATTGCAAGAGTATTCGACCTTCTCCTCTAGAAGGCTGTTTGTACTTCTGGGGGATTCATGGACCCTATGAAGTTCATCCTTGATTTACACGTTTCTTGGTTGAAAATGGTCCTTTTCATTTTTTATAACCCAATGCACAGTTTTAAACAGTCAGCATGTTACTTTTCATATGTTCACGGAACATTATTTACCTTTGCTTATGAATAAACTCCTTGGTCTAAATCCAGAAACTTCACAGAAACTGGAAAGTAGGGTATTGATTTGGACATAGAAAATTTTGAGGATATACAGTGGCTGAACCGCGTTTGGCCGTTGCTTTCTATCCCTGTCTCTTCTGCTACGATCACGGAATTTAACTTCTACATATCAGGGTTACCAATTTTTACCTTCCTGACATGGAAACTTCAGGGTCTGCACTTCTTGGGGCTCATAATGCTCTCTCAAAAAATCAGGCAGTAGCCGCTGAACTTGCATAGCTAGGGATTTATCCAAAGCTCCCTTCTATTTTTAGGCAGAACAACTGCTTGCCAACTCAAAGTTTCTGGAGAGAGACATACATCCATGACAAAACAGACGCGCGGAGCATACCTTTGCCAGGTAGTGCTCGAAATCCCCTGACGACTCCCACCGAAACTCGGGAGCTCAACAGTCTCCCTGGCCCGGCTTCAGCTCGCCTCCGCAAGCCCGCACGCCCGGCTCGGTCGCACTCTCCTCCGCCCGCTCGGGGCCGCCCGGCCCGGCCGGGGGCGGGGCCCGGCCTGGGGGCGGGGCCGGGGAGCGCGAGGAGGCGGAAGTTCCCGCGGGCGGTGCGGCCGGCGCACGCAGCCGGAGTCACTTGTCAGCGCTCGTCTGAAGCGGAGGCTGCGCCACGCCGGACTCGAGGTGAGCGGCCGCCGGGCGGGGAAGTGCGGCTCGGCTCCCCCGCAGGGAGGGGCGGGAGAGGCGCTCGCGCTGCGCCCTGAGCGCGGAGGGAAGCCCCGCTGAGGAGGAGCAGGGGGCGCGCCCAGCCCGGAGACCGCTCCTCAGGTGCTTTCCGGAGCGGCGGAATTGGGAGAGCCGCGTGGGAAGGGGAGCGCGGGGGAAAGGGCGCGCGGGAGTGGGCGCCGGGCCAGCGGGCGAGCCCTGCAGGTTCCCGCAGCGCGCGCGGGCCAGGGCGAGCGCGGCGGAGGCAGAGGCGGGGGGGCTCCCGGGGCACCCCCGCGGCCACCCGCCGGCCGGCCGGCTTGCCGGGAGTCACCGGGCACCCACCTCGGCGAGTGGGCGCCCCCACGCCCTGCGCGCACCTCTTTGGGGTGGAGGGAGCTGGACTGAGCGGGAAAGGCGTGTTATTTCTGGTTTGCGTTCTCGCTGAGAAGTGTTTATTTCCCCCCAGATATTTACAGTTGTGTAACCTGTTTGGGGAAACATCCGTGGACCAGAAATAAAAGCTGGTTTAAAAAAAGCCTGTCACGATCGTCAGATGTATTAATATTTGTTGGGGCTTTCGTAAGACTGTGACTTCAGTGCATTTGACAATGAGTGGAAAAAGGAAGGGCGTTTGGACAGGGCAGAGCCAGGAGACAGTTCGTGGCCGCGTCGGGCAGGGCAGGTCTAGGGTGTGCGAGCCAGATCCTATCCCGAGTCCGCCTTCCTGACCGTGAGGACGTGGGACCTGCCTACCGCGGAAACAGCCGGCTCGGGAGCCTTATTTGGCAAACAGGACTAGGCGTGAACCTCTGCTTGGAAAGCTGTCTCGTCTGCTTTCGTCCTGTGCCTGTGGCTTGAGTTCGAAAGCCCTACCCCCCCATTATATCTCAGTTTGGGGAAAAGGAGAATCTCAAGATCCTGCTCTTTAATTTCAGACCTTTCTGGCCGCTCGGAATTCTCCTTTCCCCCTTCCCACTCGCCGGAGAAGCCGGGATCCAAGTGTGAGAAATACGAAGCTTCCTTCCCAAGTACTAGGGCGAGGACATTGTTTAGACTTTTACTAAAAAGAAACTCCCGAAACTGTTCAGAAGTTCCAACATTTTCTTCGTCTTTGAAAGCAGAATAGAGTGCTCGTAATTTGCTGCCGGCTTAGTATTTTAGGAGGAGTTTGGGCACTAGTAACCAGACGCAGGAAACCTGGAAAAGGCCAATAATATATCCCATTGCTAAGGGATCGGAATGTTGTAACGCAAATGAAGCTAACAGAGGGAGAAGACTAGGCATTAAATGACACTGGTTCTATATATACTGTGGCCAGTGCTAGAAATTTTAACAAATGGAAGAAGTCAGGATGGAAACTCCCAAGTAAAGGGAAGTTGCATGCGCATAGTTAGGTATGTATTAAACTACATACATTTTCTTGTAGGGAACAATGGGGACAGAGGAAGTTGAGCCTAACTTTCACATTCTTCTCTTGATACAAGTTAAAGATTAAAAAAGGAGGGGGGCAGGCTGCCTATAAGGTATCAGTTGGCTTCTCCTACTGCTGGTTGGTGTCACATACTAGCGTCAAAACCGTCTTTCTCTATGAGTTCTATGAAAATCTTTTATTATAGTGGGAAAGCAATTCAATTATGTGTGGCTTTTTATTATCTTTCTACTATTCGTTGTTCACAGTTTGACTTCTGGCGTGACTATTGGATCTTTTTAGCGCCCTGTGCTTGTTACATCAGTACTGAATGTGTACTACCATGCTAGTGGAAAAGCTCATTTCATTTCTGGGTAGATGCAGTGCAGATTTTCAGTGGTTTTATTTATTTTATTTTTTTTTTAAAGAACCAGGCTTCACTTGAAAGTTTTGCCTCATTTTCCCACTCTAAGAAGATGTAATCTGTTTGCTTTTAATATACCCAGTGTTTCAGATACCTACATCTGCCAATATTAATATTAATCAACATTTTGAATGGGTTAAAAAATGGAAAAATATTTTAAGACAAGTAATATAAGGTGGTGATTTAGTCACACAGCGCAGATTTGCCAAGGAAGTGTGTCTTAAACAGCTTTAAAAAATTGGTTATACATTTTAAATTCTACATTTGTTATATTTTTAATATTTTGAAAGAGGGAATTTTTCCTAGATTGAATTTTAGAAAATATCCATTCCTCCCAGTTTCTCCCACCCACACATAACCATCATAACAAGCAATACCAAACTATTGGTCACAGTTTGATCAAAAAGTGAGGTCACACTTTTTTTTTTAATCATAGTAAAGTACAACCATTAAAGTCTTTATAAGCACACTTACAGCAAAACAAAGAAGACAGCTCTGAAGTGCTGCTTGTTTTCTACAGCTCTGCTTCCCTTTCATGCATTAAGATTAACTTCATATTCCCCCACTCCCTGCATTTAGTCAGTCTTATTCACTGTGTGCGTAATGCTCACTCTCTACTTTGCCTGATACGGTGCGTATAACACAAAAAAGCTGTTTCTCACTGAAATATCGTGCGAGAGTGTTACCTATGAATGCCGGTCTAAAAGAAAAGTAAATATTACTCTCCGTGTGGAAAACACCATGTCCCTAGAAGAAGAAATGCAAGTTGCTGTTTATGATTGGAGAATAGTTTTGTGCATTAAGAAACAACTTGTTTTAAGGAATTTTGTATGTAGAAGGCATGAATGAGAGTCTGCAGATTTCCACTCCTTTTCATATATGAAAGTAGCTTAGAATTTACGGACTCTTGCCAACTGCAGGCAAAAGAATGTATGAGGTAGAGGGAAGGGGAAAATCATTTTGAATTAAACCTGAAATAAATTCTTGTTCTTTCTCCTGTATATAATGAAGTGTTGTAAAGTACTTTCAGTTAAAGTCTGTATGCAAGAAGCCACAAATTGTACTGTGGCAATTTGTAAAACTGATCAAGGCTGAAGTATATCCTGATACGGAATTTTTAGACTATGGAAATTGGCATCAGTTTGGAAATTGTATGTTAGCTCATAGATTCCTTTTCTTAGAACTTAATATAGACTTAGCCTCTACATCTTCTCATCCCCTCCAAGACACAATACTGAACATAATTTTGTTGAGTTTATATTAAATACACTTAAGTATGGAATAGGGTTCCAAATAATCATTTTTGTTAACCATTTACTTTTCTTTCACAGTTTCTTTCATTTTTGGGATTGAACTTTGAGCCATTAGAGCCATGAGCAACTACAGTGTATCCTTGGTTGGCCCAGCTCCTTGGGGTTTCCGGCTGCAAGGTGGCAAGGATTTCAACATGCCTCTGACAATCTCTAATGTAAGCAAACTTCACAGATTTTTTTACAGATGTTCATTGAATGCTTAGTCCTGGAAACCTCAGGGCTGAGTCGTTGAATTCTCTGGATAACCTGTACTCATCACAATTGCTTATGGGATTTGGTCTTAGCAAACTTAGTTATATATAATCAAGGATGCAGCGGGGAGGGAATTTAGCAAGGATAATGGATTTCACTTAAGCTTATTTTCAGTTTCCTCCGCCTATTAATAAGGATAATGGAAAGCATTTAACTAGGGGGCAAACATCAAATTTTTGAACTGTCACTAATTTGGGGAATTCTCTGGACCTTCGTTTCCTCATCTGTAATATTAGAAGGTTGCACTATGGGCTTTTCATGGTCTTTTTCAGCTCCAAAAGCTAATTAAAAACTGTTGATCAGTGCCGAATAAAATGACTGTTTTTGGTGTTATTTCCTCAGCTCACTTTCTGGTGAAGATGATAGCCATCAGTAAAATTGCCAAAAGCTACTTACCTTTGAAGAGGAATTGAAGGGCTTGGATCTTGAGATTTGGTTCTTTACTTCACTATGGATTTAGTTTGCATATATTCTGTGTATCCAGTTTGAGGATATATTTTTATGATGATGACGATGATGCTTTTTGAGGCTTGACTGTGTTGAGCATTGTTTCACTTTTATCACCAGTGGGTAATTATTGGTATTAATTACTTTTACTTGTATAACATTCCAGAGGGCTTTTTTTTCCCATAGTCAAATAAATATAAATATCCACTCCCTTGTTGGTAAGATGGTACTATAGTGCACATGCTGTGTTCTCAGTAATTTACCATAGAGAACTTTCCCTAGAGTTTTTTTCTTTTTTTAAATAACTATATAGAAATCTCTTGTAGAGAAGTAGCATTTACATGACCAGTCCCTTATTGAAAGGCATTTATATGATTTCTAGTACTGCTATTACATACAGTGTGGTAATGGGTACCATATATACATAATTTTTAAATGTATGCATATACACACACAGTTGACCCTTGAACAACACAGATTTGAACTGTGCAGGTACACTTACATGAGAATTAAAAAAAATAAATCTATATCCCATCCTGTAAATATATTTTCTCTTTCTTATGATTTTCTCCATATTTTCTTTTTCCTAGCTTACTGTAATATAAGAACACAGTATATATAACATACAAAATATGTGTAAATTGACTATGTTATTAGCAAGGCTTTCAGTGAAAAGTAGGCTATTAGTATAGTTAAGTTTTGGGGGAGTCAGAAGTGTTATGTGGATTTTCGACTGCATGGGGGAATCAGTGCCCCAGTCCCAAATTCAAGGGTCAGCTGTATGTGTGTGTATGCACACATATACACACACATATATAATTTTGATGTGCCAGTTTACAATTTTGTGCAATGGATGAAAATACTTATCTCCCCCTCCCCCCACAGCAGCCTTGCCAGCAAACTTTTGGATTTTTGCCGGGTGCTTTTACATGCATCATCTCATTTAATTCTCATGTAAACCTGCAGAATAGTGCTATTAGTCCCATTGTACAAAACTGTGCTATGAGCTTATGTGGCTGGTGTGGAAGAGCTGGCTTTCAAGTAGTTATGCTATGTTGCTTCCCTAATAATAAACTTTATCTATAGATTGTTTCTTCTTTTTTAAAAAAATTTTTAAAATGTTTATTTTTGAGAGAGAGAGAGACAGAGTGCAAGTGGGGAAGGGGCAGAGAGAGAGAGGGAGACCCAGAATCTGAAACTGGCTCCAGGCTCTGAGCTGTCAGCACAGAGCCTGATGCAGGGCTGGAACTCATGAACTGTGAGATCATGACCTGAGCCAAAGTCGGATGTTTAATCAACTGAGCCACCCAAATGCCCCTTCTTTTATAAATTTTTTTTTATTTACTTAGAGAGCTGAGGAGAGGCAAAGAGAGAGGGAGAGAAAGAATACTAAGCAGTCTCCACGCTGCCAGTGTGGAGCCCGACACAGGGTTGGAACTCACAAACTTCGAGATCATGACCTGAGCTGAAATCTGGAGTCAGGCAGTTAACTGACTGAGCCACCCTGGCACCCCTGTGGATGGTTTCTTTAATCAGATTGTTTCTGTAATATTTAGGAGGTTATTGTTTTAATTATAGATGCATATGTGTATATATATATATATATATACACACACACACACTGCTTCCAACAATGTATATATGTACAACTTGATTTTGAAAGATTAAAAATAAATTTGTCACACTTAAAAACCTCTCTAGAATAAATAGTTTACTAATAGAGTTTTCCTTGTTTCTTGGCTGTGGATTTTTTTAAACAGTTTATTTTATTGTTTTTAAATAGTTAGCTTTACCACCAGTTTCTGTCTTGATTCCAGTTAATCAGATTTTATAAGGAAATACATACATGTAACCCATGTTACATGGGTTAAGACTCTATGGTTGGATGAAATTTTAAATGGAAAGCATCCATGTGATAATGTGTCTTATTTATTCCTGTTTGAGCAAGGCAGGTTTTTTTTTCCTCTTAACTGAAGATCTCTTTTGAGGACAGGAATGATATTTGAATATTGTCTTGTTTTTATGTTCCGTTAACATTATTTATATTAAGTTTGAACATCCTGCTTTATAGATAATGGACTAAAGAAAGTTATTGTTTCGTTTCAAATGCATCTGTTTTTGTTGGAGAAAATGTCCAGAACAAATTGACACCTAATGAAACAAACTAAATCATCACTTCAGTGTTTGGTAATAGAAATGCAAATGGAATGTGTAAGTTTTGTGGTGCCATGCCGGTAAAAGAATTTTCTGTGCTTCAGTTCCCTGGCAGACATTGAGGCCTAGCTCCATGTTGTGATGGTGATACAACAGAACACTGTGTACATACGTGTGTGCCCTCCTCTGGCACAGAAGAAATGCTTTCCTTGTGTAGACAGAGTGCTAATTAAAGGATTTTGAACATACTGATTAAAAGAGACTACGGTAACAAAGCTGCTGAGTTATTTCTGTTCTCTTACAAAAGTCTCTGCCATCTCCTGTGACCTTTTTGGGCCTTGTGCAGTGGGGCATGCAATTCATTCTGGACTGGAGAGGATGGGAAGGGGAGGGGGGGAGGGAAGGGAATTTTGGCTCAACTGTGCTGCTAGGCTGTTGGCTTTCATTGTAGTTATTTTTAACCCCTTGTGTGGTTCAGCTTAAACATGCTTTGTAGTGTTGCCTAATAGAGATGTGTGCCTAGTAACTAATTTATATTGTAGTAAGATTAGTAATGTTATACCTCATCTTCCTTAGTTCCCTGGTTGTATTTATTCTGCTTTAATTATGTACAATTATTGGGATGTATTTCTGTGGTCACTGGGTTTTTTAATTAATAACATCAAGTAATTGAAACTTGACAGCATGCCTTGAAACATATAATTTAGTGATTCCCTTATTTTAATAGTATATATGAAATTCCTAGCAAGGTCTGGCACATAGTATTCTTTTAGTTATTTTTTACAATAATGTTATAAAATTAAAAAGAAAAATTATTTAGAGACTTGAAATATCAAATTCCCCATAATTGTGGGTAATGTAGGAGTTATGTGTATATTGTTTACTTAGAGTTTATTGGAAATGAACAAGAAAAAACCCCACGAGTTTGTGCTTAGTTCGGAATCTGCATGTTTATGTTTAGAGTTCAGAAGTATACAGTTTTCCTCTGTTTAGGTATTGGCTATGTTGAACTCCACAGGGCTGTTTGTTTCCTTATAACATTGGGGCTCTGTAACAGCAGATGTATTTGTGATAAATAGGCCATTGGCTGGGACTTGAACATTCTGTTTTGAGATTTTGTTGTTACTAGCGTATGAATGTGCTGAATCTGACTCTGTGTATTAAAGCATGTACATTATATAATTTTAACATTTCATACAAATTTGCCCGTTATCTGTATTGTATGATTTTTGCATTCTTTTTTAGTAGGTGGGTTTCTAAGACAACATTGGTAATTCCTGCAAACTTAGTAAAAGATCTTCAGATTGCTGTAACTGTATAATCACATGTCATTGTCTTCAGTTTCCTATTTTTAAAATGGAGTGCTGGCTACAGGAGTTTGTAGGCTGCCTTTTTATGACCCTATATTTATGGAATTGCCTTGAAGCCATGGAATGTGGGTTTCATTGTAGCGGTGTGGGTTATTGGTCTTAGCCAGTATATTTTATAAGAAGAAATAGGAGACTTCTTGCACAATTTAAGGCTGTATTTTGGCAAGTTGATGTTCCTCACGATGGAATTCCAGGAGGGATGATATATTATTATTAAGTATGGCATCCTAAAGTTACAATACCCTGCTGTATGTTGTTTTCTGATTTATGATGTTAGAGTTTGTTCCTTACATAGTCAGTATTTGGATTTCCTGAAGATGATCTTGCAGTTCTCCATAAACACATCTACATTGTTTCTTTAGCAGGTAAGAATGAGGTCAGATAATTTAATACAAGTAATAATAATGATTTTGATTCTCAAGAGCTAGGGGAAGATTAATTGTTACCAGCTCAGATAAGATTTTAGCTGGATTTGAAAAGCAGACGAAATTTACTATTTTCTGGAGTATGGAGGTCCGGTTGGGAGTATAAGACAGAACAGAAAAAAGAGCTGTGAAATATTTTGCTAAGAATTCATCCATTCAGCAGTTATCGGAATAGTTCCTGGAAGCCTCTTAAGAAGATAAAAAATATTGGGAAATGGTTGGGGAGAAAAGAAATAAGTACAGTACTAGACATGGTCATTACACCTGTCACAAAACAATAATTGATACAGTTACAAAGATACAGCTAAGTGTTTCTCAGTTTCAGTAGGCCTAAATCTTTTATATTTGTGGGGTCAGCTTCCTGCAGGAGAAATTAATTGAAATGATCCTTGAAGGAGGAAATTTGAACACCTCAAAGTCAACATTTCTCTGTGTTGGTTTTCAGTGCAAAGTGAAGACGAAGACTTTTCTTGCCGTGGCTTGACCCTGAGCAAAGCTGTGAATATA